TCGAGCGACAAACCAAACTATTTCACATTTTCTTAAGTGCAACTCGATTGGAAAAACTGACCCAGAGATCGAACATTTCCACAGAACTATCGGGAACATAAGGACGTGCCGGTTTCCCGCAGTGATACTTGACAAACGATGGCCCATAATGTCCCGAATAACAGGGCACCATTGACTCGTACCATTGTCACAGCAAAGAGTACCAGCCACCAGGAGGTCCCTTGCCCGGCCACTTACTTATTTTACCCCATTGTTCTCCAACATCCCTTGCCCCTCCGCCATCTCGAACAGTTTTCACGCTCGATGTTTATGGCGCTTCGTCGAAACCGTGTCACGTTCCTTTCCCTTTTTGCCAGCCTCGGCTCTATTAACCGGTCAGGATAGCCGGTCCTTTCTCTGTAATGAGATTATCCGCTGGTTACGACTTCGTCCAGTAAAATGAACGAGAATAATCGTGGAAATTTTAGAAGATTGTTCGAGTCAGTATTTATATATAGTCAAGTTGAGATAAAATCTTTACTGTTGGGTGATGGCGTGGTGTTGGTTCTAGAAATAGAGTTCAAAAATTTTAAGTAAGAGATTTTTGATAATTGATAATATGTTATTAGTAATAATTTCAAAATATGAAATGCAAACAATTCATGAACTTCTCATGGTGGAATATGCAAATTCTCTTTGTAAATAAGAATGTTAACAGCATTTTTCAAAAATTTAAAACTATGATGTAAAAGAATGTTTTATAATGCAATTGAATTCTGAAATAGATATTGAAAAAAGTAACGTTTAAAATACTTTGTTTTTAAAATATAAAATTTCATAAAATTATCCAATTTGTTTTACAATATAGAAATATTATTTTACAAACTACACACAATATTAAAATAAATAATAAAAATTCGATATTAAACAACTTTAACATACCTAAATAACTTAACTCTTTAACTTTCTCTTAATTAATATTAATTCTCTTCTTATTTATGTTCAGAAGAAAAGCAGAATACACCTGAAACAAAAAGAAAATTATATTAAACAAAAAAAAAAAATGTTTTAAACACTTTAATTTAATTATTAACACAAGGAATTCGAGAGTGGCTACGCCACTGAAACGGAGGCCAATCGAAACGCCATTAGTACCCGGTGGCATTAAACGAGCGTGTTCTCGAAGCAGGTAGCCATCTTTCGCGGCGTCTTCCACGAAAATTAACTACTCGCGTTGCTTCGATTCGAAATTCATTAATTTCCTCGGGACGCGGGTAAACGCGCACACACGCCGCCGCGGGATGATCACCCGCGGTGTCCGCTCGCTTATTAATGCGCGGCTCTCCCCGTCTCGAAATCGAATTACACGTCGATGGAATTAGCTTCCGTCAACGAGCCGCCTGGTTGCCCTTTATTAAACCGCATGGATGGCCCGCGATAGGAAGTTAATCTTTGTATTACGAAAATTCTTGATAAAACTTCTAAAACTATCACTATTTTTTTCTTCTAATTTCAAGTAAAAGAAAATGACGATAGTAAGATTTTAAATTGTTTGAGAAAAGATATTAGAATGGTTTTGGATTTAAGAAATAGTTGAAGAAGTTGAAAGATTTAGATTATAATTATTTTGATATTTTGATGAAGTTGAGGTTAGGAATTAAGAGGTAAAATCTTAAAAAAGAAGTTTTGATTTTGATGATTTCGCTAATTTGGTTAATTTCAAAAATTTAAAAATACTTGATATAAAAATTTCAAGATTAAGAACTTTTATCTATGAGAGTTTAAGTACAAATGTTGTATTGATGAAAACAATTTTATGAGGAACATCTTGATTTTCAAGCCAACTCAAAATGATCTCAAAATTTCATTATTTATCTTTAAAATTATGCGATTCTGAAATATGAAATTTCAGTCAATATTAAAAACCATAAAAAAAATCATTATCAATACAAATTTTATTTTCCTAAATCCTTCCTTCGTTTATATTCATCAAAAATCAAAAAATCCTTAATCTTCATTCTCTTATCGTACAATCCTTTCGCGCGATTTGCAAAAAGCTAATAAATTAAAATACAAAATTCTATAATTAGAATCACAAGAAATGGACGAATGCTAGTCATAATAGTGTATATTAACCAGTCTATCCATCTAGGCTTAATCGAAATCATGGACGCCATTAAATCGGACGGGGGCCGCGCCCCTTTAATCGTCGCCTGACAACGTTACGGGCCCGATTTGTCATCCACGAAATTGAGTCGCATCTGCCCCCGGTCCCGAATATACGTCCGGCCCGTTCTGCTTCCGAGCTGACAAAGCGGAACCGGAGGAGTGTGCGTGCTCTCACACCGACGAGCAACACGCGCGCAAGCACACCCGCTCTCCTCGAGGACAATGTAATGGCAGCCGGCGAATATATACGGGCACGGACCATTAATATATGGCCGCGGGGGCCATTGTTGCGAATTAGGTAGCATTGAGCGACCTATTGTCGACGACAACCGGGGGCGCCGAGCTGTGCGCTCCGCTGACTGCGTTTTGATGAAGTCCCGTGCACGAGTCTCGGTCAGATAGAGGATCTTTGTGGGATCTCGTCTTTGAGCGTGGATGGATAGTGTTCTGGGATCATTTTATGGATGGATACTTCTGAGTATCGTTCGTTGATTATTTTTCGAAAAAAAAAAAATGAAAGATGAAATGGTTAAATTAATAAAAAAACAGAAGATGAACGAAAAAGATAGGATAATTAAATTAATAAAAAACATTTTTCGTTATTTTGATGTTTGGTATTTGTAATTTTGTAATATGATTAATGTCTTTTTTTGTTGTTTTGGATTTGAATTTTAATATTCGAAATATTGGGGGATATAATTATTATAATTGAGGGAAACGTATCATGATTGGAAAAGATATTTAGTTCAAATTTTGAGTATTGAGTAGAACTATTAGTGACATCTAGAGAGTAATTCTGAAACTAAAAAGAGTCAAGTTTAAGATCAACTCTATTTTATCAACAGTTATCAATTTTTTTATAATTTTATAATTTTTTATTTTTTAAATATTATTATATATATAGAATATATTTAAAATTTAATGCATTTTTTTATCCTATATTTCTGTTTTTTCTCTTATTATTTTAGTATTATTATTGATTCGAATCATAAAATATAATTACAATATTAAATGTGATTAGAATTGAAATTAAATTTGAATGTGATACTAAATTTTCATAAATGAAATATTTAATAAAATATTTTATATAATCCTATATGATTAATATCCTAAATTTGGTTAAAATATTATAATCCTAAATTTCGTTAAAATATTAATCAAATGTAATTATCAAACTAAAAATTTTATGATGTAAAAAAAATTTATAAATCATAAAATATTTTATAATTTATACATATAAAAATTTAATCAAATATATTTAATTAATATTTTTAATCCATATTAGGCAAAGAAAATAATAAAATTAATTAGATATGTAAGTCATTTTTTGAATGTATAAATTTTGCAGAACAATATATATATAATTATAGACAGAAAGAACAAATAAAGAAGAAAAAGATAGAGATAAAATAAAAATTGGAAAATTAGCGCCATCTCTAGAGTGCCGAAATACATATAAATAAAAAGAAAAACAACATATAAATAAACAATAAAAAAAGAAATAAGATAAAAATTGATTATTAGCTATCTTTTAAATATGACAAAAATATCTTTTTAAAAATACTCAAAAGATAATATTGATTAATTCTTATACTATTTTATTCTACTTTTTATTTATGAAAAAGATATTTTTAGCATTCATGAAATGGTGCTAACGATTAATTCTTGCCTATTTTTATCTTCTTTTAATCTTCTATTTAATCTTCTTATCTAAATTTTATTATACTTTTTTTGTTATTTTTCTTTGTCTAAATTTACATTTGATGTATAATTATACAAGATACAGGATGTTAATTTGATGAACATAATTTCATCATTTCTCTTTGAAAACTATAATATGTGTTAATCTTTAATGTCAAAAATATTACATTATATTGATTTTACAATTTCTAGAACGATCTTGTGGAATATATTAAATCTCAAAATATTATGCAAGTATTTTCCAATATAATGCATGATATAGCAATGAGATTTAAACAAATTCTGACTCAATAATAAAACGAATAGAAAAGAATTTTTAAAAATTATCCTATAGAAAAATGAATATTGAATATTAATTTGTTTACAAAATGCACTTGGTCCCTGATACTAATATATATATTACTTTATATATACTTTTTATACTATGTATTTATTACATGTATATATTAGTCTCATTATATTTAACAATTTAATTTTTTAATTTCTATTCAGAAAATATTAAATTTAAAATAAAAAAATTATATTTTATTTCTAGAAATATAATTTATAATGTAATAATTTTTCATAAGATTGATTTATAAATTAATATTGTATTCTAATCGATTCAAAATTTGAAAAATTGATTATAAAAATATGCTTATAAATGTTAAAATAATTACAAAAGAAAAGTTTATTTTTAATTTTTGCTTAATAAAAACAAATTTTTGTAAATAAAAAGAAATAAATAAATAAAAAAAAGCATTATTTCAAAAATATTATTTCAACTTATATATAAAATATACTTCATTTATGTCTATAAGATATTCTGCAACAGAATATTTATTTATTCAACTTCTTAAATGTAATTTTGTTGAAATTTAGTTCCAATTCCAATCATAAATAATATTGAAATTTTATTCTGAATAGAATTGCTCAAAATAAAGAATACTGAGAATGATATTTCAAAAGAATACTTTCTAGTACTCCTGAATGCATGAAATAAGAAAATGCATTGAATATCAAATATACTCTTTGTATCTTGTATGTGATTTGTATTTTTATTATGGATTGTAATCATAGATTTTTTGTTATTCATTATTTAATGGTAAGTAACATAATATAAAATAATTGCAATAAAGGAAAATTTTAAATTAAAATACTCACTTAAATGAATTTGTCAAAAAATATTTTAATATAAATTCATAGCATGTTGATAGAAAACAATGAATCTATAAAAAAATTCTCAGACGAGTTTGTATTTTTGAAAACAGTCTCTTAATTATATAAATACGTAAAATTCGTGTATAATGTAATAATAATAAGTATAACATTCTCAAAATGTTATAAGTGCATATTTAAGTTTCAGTTTTTTAAAAAATGTTCGATATTTTTACATCGAACTATTTCTCATATTATTATCATTATGTTCTAAATTGATAGTGTTGCGTTTTTTGAATCGTCGTATCATTTCTTTCGTGCATTGAATCAATTTAGAATACATCATAATTTGACCATAATGTTCTGATGTCGATTTTATTTTTGTCGCATATTCAATTTTTTTAAGGCGAATCGTTCCTGTATATTTTCTACAAGCATAATTTATTCGTCAGATCAGAGAACTTTATTTCTCAAACGACCTAAACCTTGTATTTCCGTTTCTAATACATCTCCACGCTAAAAAGAACAATAAAATAGTTGTAAATTTAAATATAAAATCAATAATATGGATCTTCAATTATTTTACCTGTAAATATTCAGGTGGTTTACGAGTGAATCCCACACCAGATGGCGTGCCCGTTAGAATTACGTCTCCCGGTAATAGTGTCATAAATCTAAAACGTATAATTGCATAATCACTGCAATAGATTTCTTGAACAGGAATTAATCAATAGAACAATGGAGTTAAGCAATTTTGATTGATAAATTAAGTTTATCTGCATAATGGAAAAGTATAAAAGTTTTGAATAATACATACTGTGAAATATAAGCGACGATTTCATGAGGCTTAAATATTAGTTCGCTGGTATTACCATCTTGTTTAATATTACCATTTACCCATGTTTTTACGGTAAGATTGTTGATATCAGAAATAGCTTCCTTAGTAACAACAGCTGGTCCCAATGGACAGAATGTATCCATGGCTTTGCCCAATAAAAATTGACCGCCATTTCTTTTCGATTTTTGCCAATCTCGAGCTGTAATGTCTTGCGCTATTGTATAACCAAAAATATAATCCTCTCCTTCATTGTTATTCAATGCTTTACACTTTTTCCCAATTACTATCGCGAGTTCTGCTTCCCAATCAACTTTCTATCAAAATAATCATAAAAATAATAGTTGATAAATTTTTAAATAGTATCATATTTAGTTTTAAACATTTTAATATTGAATTAATCATAACATATATAACATATATATATAAATAAGAATCGATATATCTTTGCTTTAATATACTTTGTTTTTTAATCATTTACTAATTAAATAATTACATACATATTACTAAGCATGTTATTAGTCAATTTTCCTATTTAAAATTTATGCAAATAATTTTCTTCGTTAATACTATTTTCTTCGTTAATTCTATTTTTAATTTTAATTTATATTTCAGATTAATATCTAATCAAATATGTTTACTTTCCTAATTAAATCTATAAATAGATAATTATCTTACAAATACAAAATTCGAATCTCTGTTTATTCAATTGATACACTGATTCTTTCTCTTTTCTTGTGTATTGTTCTATAATTAGTTGAAAAGTCTATTTAATTTTATTTATTTAATCTCGTTATATAATTATCTCGATTAAATATAGAGACGGTTTTTGCAATGATATGGAACTTTGGTAATCAACATTTTCTCGCTATTATTCTTATACTTACATCTGAAATTGGTGGAAGCATAATATTATCACGCGGTCCGATGATATTACTTGCGAATTTACTAAAAATCACAGGGCTTTCCGGTGGTGATACACCTTGTTCTTTACAATGACCAACATAGTTCAAACCAACGCAAGCCAACTTATCCATACGTGTAACTGGCGCCAGAAAATTCACCTCCACTTCCGGTATTACGCTACGTCCTTCTGCCACTATTCTATAATTATTTAACTAATGTAAAAATATAAAAACATATTTTTTTCTAATGGCAGAATTGGGCTATATTTAAATCAAGTAATTTTTTTTTAATTATTTAAATAGTAAATTATTGATTTATGTTATGTTTTCTTTTATTTTGAAAAAATAAAATTTGTTAAATATTTTTGATATTAATTATATTTTTTGGAAATAATTGAAGAATATTATTTAATCAAGTAATCAATATTATTTAATCAATTCTCAAATAGGATTAAAAAAAAAATTGTTATCTAAACAATATTTTGTCCAACTCTGCCTATGTATAACTAATTTTCATACACCTGTAAAAACAATGATTAAGAAAAAAGTAAAAAATTTCAAGTAACAATAATAAGTTAGTATGAACTACTACTATTAACCTGCATAATACAAATAAAAAAAATTATTTATTCATATAATTTCCCTTTGAAAGATTGATTTTATAAGGAAAAAGATACAAATATTAGTTGGCGATTTGAACTCAAAGATCAACTGATAACTCTTCAATTTTCATTGTAATGGCATTTTATTAATATTTAGAATTTTTATTTTTATAATAATACTTGTAATAATTTGTATTGTACAAATGTAACATTTGAATAATAATGTAGTTACATAACTAAATATTAAGTAAACTAAATATATTGATATATATAATCAATTGCATAACTGTTATTTTGTATACATTTTGCAGTATTAAAAATAATTTAAACAAATAAAAAAAAATAATATGAAAGATGTGAAATAAAAAATTAAATATGAAAAATAATGAAAATATATAATAATATAATTATAATATTATAATTTAAATTATTCAAATAATCAAAGATCAATAGAAAGATCTTATATATCAAATATTTTCATTTAGACATCATATGAAGAATTTTCTGGCAACTCAGAGTTTGCAAACTCGCCAACTGAGCACAAACAGAGCAACAATAGCTTAAATTAGTAGCAACAATGATATTTGACTTAGTCATCAATGTTGATAATTTCAAGATCAAAATAAATTACGAAATTCACGATAATAAAATAAGTTATGAAGATACTAATTAGTTATAGGGGATTTTTTTATCATTCAGGATTTTCAATGGAAAAACATCATGCAAATGATGTGTTTGAGAAACAATATAAGTGTATTTAATCAAATGATTCCTTTTTTCTGTTTTGATAAAGTTATGTCGAAACTATAAATATAATTTAATTTTTTTCTTTATCATCGTTATGTTAATTTTAATTAATTTAATAAACTTAATTTAATAAACTGTTTAATCAATCAAAATTCATTTTTTTTTAAAAATCGCGTAAGTATGTTTATCGTGATAATTGAGCAAAGGACCTGAAGAAAAAAGCACAAAACATGAAATATTATAATATAACAAAACATGAATAATATTTATGCATTGAATGTAGTATTATTATGAATGTAATATTTTCTAAATAAACATCATCATTACATTAAATAATAAATCATTTAGATATAATAAGAATGAAAATAGATTGATTCAATGCACAAAAAATGATTATATTATTTCATGTAGAAAATATGTATGTATATATTATAATTCACATAACTGCTCTGCAATAATTCTTCAATTATTCATACTTAAACGATTTAAATAAAAAATTTTCTATATTTTGATGTAATTACAATTTTTGCAAAGTTATTTTAAATTAGAATTTTAAACTATTCCACACATATTACATTTTTACATTCCATCCCTAAATTCCACATCGTCTAATATTCAAAGTGTACTGCACCAATGTTTGCTTAAATGATAATCGTTTGTAAATAAGAAGAGTAATCGATAGCAGGAATCGGTCCTTTTGAGCTGGCCAATTAGCGATCGTGAAAGAACAAGCTTTCTAAACGTCTATCGTCCGGTTTGTGAGTTTTCTCTCTGAAATAAGACACGTCTAATAGAGTAAATGATAACGTAAGATGAGAATTTAATGCTAATGCCGCGAAAGATTACAAGATTATAGATAGATTTAAAACAGTCACGAGATATGAAAAATATTAGTATAACATTGACTTTATATAATACTGATAAGTGTACATTATAGGTCGAGTATATCAGAAGAAAATTCGGAGTATATTGTTTAGCATATATTTAATTATATATAGTTTAATTATATGCTAAGAATAAGATTACGAAGAAAATAAAGAATAAATAAATATCGTATGTGCGTTACGTGTAAGTACGAACAATGGAGAATTGTTCAGTATTATACATAGAGAAAAGGACAGACACAATAAATTAATGCTATCTTATAGAAGCTTAATTTAAAGAAATTTAAAGGGTATACAGAGAATTTTGTTCACACTAAGTTCTTTCGATAGCACGAACCTCTCTATTATAGTCAACACGTTCACCTCGTCTTCCCTGGGAACAAAATGGTGGGTTATGAAATCGAATAGGTTAAAATTACTATTGATATTAAGTTTACTATTAAACTTTTTCTGAAAAGCTAAAAATGATAAAGATATATGACAGTTGCATGTACATTGCATTACGATTGTATGTTAATTGTATCAATTTTTTTCTTTAAAATATTCAACTAAATTATTGTTAAAAATATAATATGAAACTTCAAATTATTATATAATCATCAAGCATGTATTTGTAAATTTGCGGTATTTTTATAGTTAGTCTTAACTGTTTTGAATCTAATGAAATATATTTTATTTATTCAATAAATTATAATAATTCTTAGAATTTTTATAATTTAACAATTTTTTTCTAATTCTAAATATAATTACTATATATATAAAAAGAAAAAAGAAATAAAAAAAGAAAACCGAATATAGAAAAATTAATATTCATTCTAAATATTCGAATCATGATCAATCGTAATTTTTTAGTTAAATTATTTTTAACTTATTATCATGTTTTAAAATGAGATATTTTCCATTTTTACGATAATAATGTTTATACCGTTTTTTGTATTAATTAATAATATTGTGGCATGATAAGTTCCACTAATAAGTTTTTACATCATTTCGATCTCAAATTACATAATTAAGCTTACCTTTTAGCCTTTTTTAATAAATCGTCACCACCCTCGAGAAATTTTTTCAATGTATTTGGAATTCTCGAATCTACCGCCGAAACTGCGATTATGTCACCACCTTGGACAAGTTGCACTCCTAAATGTTGAGGACCACCATTTTTACCAGTGAATTGTACAAACCTATTGAAAATTAGGCATTATAATAAATTTAATAAATATTATAATCATAATAAATTTTATGATAAAATTATCTTGTTGTTTGTTGTTTAAATAATATAAAAAAATAAATATTTAAAAAAAAAGAATTATATGATAATGTATGCGAATATTGTAATAAAAAATTGCAAAATTTAAATAAAAAAATCTTTCATAAAATTAAAAAATCTTTGTGGTAAACAAAATAACGAAAAAAATATAATCCGAAAATTATTTCATGATATGAAAAACAGAATCCATATATAATCCATTATATAAATTAAATGAAAAATATTATACAATAAATATAATAAATATTTTAAGAATAAATAATAATCTAAATGATAAATTTAATGTGAAATATTCAATTTATTAAATTTATAAACTTATAAGTAAATGTAAATAGCAATGAATTATAAGTAATAAATTAATATCTGATTAAGCCAAATTAATCTAAATTCATTTTTTTTTAATATTGGTTAAATACAATTTTTCTATTTTATTAAAAAATAATGAAAAAATTATTTTTTCAAACTCTCAAATAGAATAGAATAAATAATAAATTAAATGAACTAAACAATAAATTATAAATAGATTAAAATAATAGATAAAAATTATAAATTAAATTTAGTTTAATAATTTTTTTAAATTTATTTTAAAAATATATTCTTATTAGATTTCAAATGAGAAATTTTAATACAAAATTAGGCAAAAATTAAAAAATATATATATATTTAATATAATGATAGAAAATTGACAGAAAATCATTACAAGAAAATTAATTAGAAGTTGAAAAAATTAATAGATCGTAGAATTGATAGATCGTATAGTTTTTAAAAAATTACCAAAATATATTAATCAAATTGATAAGTATCTAATTATAAGAAATCATAAGAAATAGTATTTAAAGATTTATATAATAAATTTATTTATTATTAGAAAATTAATTATTTTCATCGTTTGATTAATGGTATAAATACAATTCAAATATATTTCTTTTATAAAATAGTTCTGCATATAAAAATAAAAAATAAATGAATAAATAAATAGATAAAAATAATGAAAAATATTTTTAATTTATATTATATTATATATTTATATTATATTGAATAAATAATACGGTTAATTATAATAATTAACAATTGTTTACAATGTGATATTCTTCGCAAAACTGAATAACTGAATTTAAAAAGAAAGAATTCTTTTAAATTCATTCTTATGTGCATTTATTAGCCAAATAGAATGATATATAGCCAAATAAAATGACATATTTCAAAGCTTCGGTATTATATCAAATGTATATACTATATACAATACGAAAAGTAAGTGATCGATACTGTTTAATGACTTGATAAGATACGTTTATTAAGTTCTTTTTAAATTTAAATACTAATTTATATATAATGGGAATCCACTAAATTTTTAATTTTCATAGATAAAGAAAATTATATGGATAAAATAATATATTTTAAAAAATAACGATAAATTTTTTTTTATATTTCTATTTCAATTTAATGTAATTGGAAATATTTTAATATATAGAATATTTTTACTTGATATTTTAAATATGAATTGAAAAGAAATAGTAAATATATAACAAAAAGATAAAAAATATAATTAAGATAACAACTATTTGTATGAAATAAAAAATATAATCGCATCTAAAATAGATAATATTAAATATTATTTTAAATTTATTGGGATATTTAAAATAATTTCTTTATATACATTTACAATTAATAATATTCATATTTAATATCTGTAAGATTGTATATTTCAAGTTATCAGTATCAAACAAAATCCTGTGTTTATACATGATAAACAAGTTTAAAAAAAAAACAAAGATAAACTCAAAAAACAAAGATAAAAATATTTATATTATACAATTGTATGATATAAGAGATCGTAAAAAAATTTTAATTAATAAAATTAATTTTTGCTTAATTAGTGAAAATATGTATATTCTGAAATTGCTAAAAAAGATACAAAACAATAAATTTCAAGCAAATTATTCGCAAATGCATATATGAATTTATTAACGATTCTGCTGCCACCTGTATTTCATCTAACGAAAATTTATAAGATTTATATCGACCAATTGAGAAATAAAGAAAACCATTTATAGAAAATTATATGAAAATATAAGATATCTCAGAAAGTGTACAAATAAAATTTATTATAATACTCATAAATGTTATGTAATCGTAATCAAATTAAAATATTTAAAGAATATTATATCTTATTAGTATCAAATTCGAATCACTATGATTATTATAAATAATTAATTTCCATTAATTACCTTTAATTATATTAAAATTATTTACATTTATTTATATGATAAATATTAAGTATATTAGAATAGTTATATAATAATTAATTACAAAAATTTTTAAAATATTAATATCTCAAAGAATTCTTAAAAAATGCAAAGTATAATAATATATATTAATGCATCTAATTTCATACTACTTACTGTTTTTCTAAAGATAATTGTAAAATATTTAAACATTTATCTTTTTGTTACATATGACATTTTATGATTATTATATTTTTTTTAAAACGACGTCATATTTACGTTAAACAAACCCTTTCTTAACCGATATATTTGTACGCGACTATGTTCAGCTCGAATAGTATGTCGTAAGTATATATATTCAGATGCTTAGTGTCGATGATATAATTATATTTAATCGAACGAATTCAGATATTTGAATCGAATTAATTATTGTGTTTCTTTATAAATTAATTTAACATAATTAATCTGTACTGATTTAACAATAGATATTAAGATGTTCATTAGACATGAAAATCTAAAGATGCTTTTATAAATCTAATTAATTTTTTTCTGCATATTACTGTTTTTTTTTATTACTGATTCTTTCAGACAGTGTTCAACTATTCAACTTATGCAATTATTATTATATTTCTATTTTTTAGTTTGATATGTTTGAAATATGCTATTGAAAAAAAGCAAATTATGTCTGTTTTACTTTACGAAATTATAAAAGCATAGAAAACAGATGCACAGATAAAATCTGAAACAGGCCAATCAAAAATGTCGCGCGAAATTCGACTATTTTAGATTATTTAAAATGTAATATTTAATCATTTTAATAAATTTTCGGCTATTTCATTAAAATTTTGGATTAGATTTGATTTACCTCATGTTGACCGCTCTATTGGTAGAGAAATTCCTACCGGGTATACTAGCAGCGAAATGCGTGTTGCTTTTCTCGGCACACGAGTTTCTGAAGGTGAAGCAAGCTCTGCTAAGTAATCGTAATTTACCACGGTAAGGCATTTTTTTCGTTGATAAGGTGTCGGTTTGATAGGAACGCACGTTGTGAATGGTTCCTACGAGAGAGAAAAAAATGAGAATATTACCAACAAATGAAAAAGATAAAGTACTCGTCACGAAAGACGAACTACAACTAGTATAGTACAGTAATACAAGTGAACACATTGCGCCACTCTGTTATTGAGTTGTAGTAGGGGAAATCACGTGACACGATAAAAAATGATTCAACTTCGAAAGCAACCGATGATTGAATTTTTTTCATTATAAATGATAAATCATTAATATTTTAATCCTAAATATAATATTTATAATTTGATAGCATTGTAAATGAAATAATTTTGAAAATTTTGAATATTATATTTATTTTAAAAAAAATAAAATATATATATTTATAGGTGAATTTTTTTAATGATTTTAGTGAATTTTTCAAGGAAATTTGAGTACAAATATTTTATTTTTAAATATAAATTTTTCTAACAAAGTTTCTACAAATTACATTATTTAATATTCTTTTGGTTGTTTTCTTGTAAAAGGAAACTCTTCACGTGTATGATATGGAGTATAAGGATCATCTACATAATAGTGTGGTCTTCTCCAATAGTGATTTACCATTTTATCTAATAAAGTTGACTGTTTTGCATTACAGAAAACATGCTGTTTTAATTTATATCGCCGTTTACCATTTTTTTTCCATAATTTTTTATGACGACCAGCAAGAGTTCTGATCCATATACCCCTATAAATAAATATATATTAATAAATATTATAAAATACATTATTGAAATCTTATTAAAAATCTTACCAATTTAATCTGTAGAATCTTTTAAGCACGGTTTTCACAGTTTTTCTTTTACCTTTTTTTCTAGAATATTTTATAACTGTTCTGACAGAAGTTGTTGTAGGTACTAGTGTTGAAGGTACAATATTATTAATATCTATGTGACTGTGAACATTAATTATATTATTGAGACTAAATAATATTAATTTATTTTTATATAATATATATAATTTGTTTTAAATATACATACCCAAGAATTGGCTTTTGCTTTATATGACAAACATTATTCCAATTATAAATTGTAGAAGAAAATGCACCAAAGAATCTTTGTTGAATACATTGTGTAATAGGTAATTGTTTATGAACAAGAGAATTTGTTAAATTAATATTGGTATGCAAAGCTGAAATATAAATACAAAAATAATATTAATTATATTACAAATAATTAAAATTCCATGAAAAAATTGATTTAAACTATAAGATAAGATATTAATTGCTCTATTAAGTTAAGTTCAATATAAAGATTTAATAAGCGCGCTCTTGTTTACAATTCCATAATGTTCCTTCTGTCAGAAAATCAAAATGGCTATTCAATTTAAGTGAACATAACCTAAAACTTATGAAGTTGCAATAATTATTATGCAATGACTTATTGAATTTAAATGAATAACAGTTTACAATGAAACTACTAAATTATCATTTAATATAAAATTAGGAGTGTTAGTGAATTCCTAAAAAAGTTTCTATTACATACCTCGAATAGCGATACTAACAATACGCAACATTCTTCTTTTCCTCTAGTTCCGTCGGTAACCAGCTGTTTTGTGCCGTCGTTCCCTTTTTCCTTTGGCTGCCTGACCGGCCACCCGAAAGATGTTCCGAATTGGATTAAAATTTCCGTGCAACGGTCTAAATAGGGTACGTAAAGTAAGTAAAAAGTAAGCGATTGTACCCATACTGATTTGGTGGTTTTGCGTTACGTGAATTTGATAAAAAATATGAAGAAATTATAGAAAAAACTGTCGTTCACTATGTGCTGATAGACATTACTGTCGCGTCGTCTCCTGTATTGATATTAAATATTTCGTTATTGTTTGCTGCTATTCTGACGAGATATAACTCGTGATCTGCGTGAAAAATCGTAGTCATGTCATGATGACGATGTTTTTGCAAGTTGTCAGTGAATATTCCTGCAAACAAGACCAAGGTTGCCCGCCTCGTGTGACAAGATGGCTTAAATTTAGGAGCTTACATAATTCCAGACGATTTCATCGCCACCGTTGATCTTTCAGGTCAAAAAGAATGGATCCTCCAGACTGTATTTGACAACTAGGTATTATGAGACACGTGCACGAATTAAATACGACCAGGAATGTAGGTGAGTGAACGAATTTTCCGATTGTTTGGTAAGATGTTTGGTAATTTTTACGAGTGTCACACTTGTCGTTTGAATGTTTTTTTAAAAAAAGAGGATTTAATTGTCGTTTTTATCTTGATCATAAATAATATTTTATTAAGAAACGTTCATTAAGAAAAACTTTTATATATAAATTCCTTTAAATTTTTTTATTTAGGTTTAGGTTAGGTTATGTTTGTTACAACCTATTTTATTCAATGATTTTGCAAGTTTTATCATATTTAAATGTTTCATATGAATTTTTTTTTTGTAAAAGTTTATTATAGATTTATTATATAATTATTACATAGTAATTATATAATTATTATATAGTTTGATGATAATATTGGAAATAAAAATGAATATATGTATATAAATTGTATAATTAAATAAAATATTATGAATATTAAATCAATTAATGAAAATAAAAACTTAAATATTAATTTTGTGATCATAATTATGCGTTTTAGGTTTTCCAAGGATGTCAAACTTATATCTCGAATACCGATACATAAGTATTCAACTGATACACCAAAAAGGTATTGAAAGTTTAAATGTGAGAACATTTTTATATTATGTATATTATATAACAAAATTATATGTGTGTTATTATAATTGAACTCATTAAATTTTAATTTTTTCTTTCAAAAAAAGAAAAAAAAATTGAATATAGAATTATGTTTTATAAATAAAATAAAAATCATAGAATAAAAGGTAAATCTGTAAATAATTATAATTTTTCTAAATCAACTTAATAAATCTTTTCATATATATATATATATATTTGTAAAACATTTTTATATCAAAATGTTTATCAAATAAATTTAATATAAATTACAATATTTATTAAAGGGAGAAAAGCAGAGGAACCACAAAAACAGTATTAACTTTGACTGCTGTGGCAATAGGAGCATCAGGTGTATTGCTTTATGCAAAACATGATCCAAAATTTCGTGCAAATCTTGAAGGTTGGATACCTGGCACAGACAAGACTATTCAGATCATCTTTCAGGAGGAATCATCCTACTTTGAATTCATACGTACATTCTTTGAAACATTAAAGCAAACGTAAATTTAATTATATATTTAATATTTGAATTTTTAGTTGAATAATAAGAATATAGAAATGAATTATTTTATATAAATAATTTATTATTTTTTGTTATTTCAGAATTATAAGTTCCCTTTTTGGAGGAGATTCAAAAAAAACAGGTCAGAAAAGAATAGATTGTACACAAGTTGAAGATTATATACGTGAGCCCTATTAATAATTCCTAAATCTATTTCCTTTCTTCCTTCTTTTTTTCTTTAATTACTAAATTAATAAAATTTTTATATAAAAAATTGTTTTATTTAGAATAGTTATTATTTTGCTTACTAACATTTAACAATAATGTGTATACTATAGCACCAAAGCCAACTTTTGTACCACTCATTGATAAGAAGGAACCACCTATTAATGAACCTTATGCTGAAATAAGATTAAGTAAAGAAAAAGGAGAGGAAATTGAAATTGGTAGGTTTTTAAATTTATTATAATATCAAATTTTTTTTTTTAACAATAAATAAACATAAATAAACGTATAAAATATTTTATGTTTGCAGTTGCCGAAAAACCTACGCCGCCTCCTAAGGATGTACCTGAGGAATTAATGCCAGCAAATCTGGTGGAACTAGAAACATCATGCGGTGAAGCTGCATCTAAAGCTATCGCAGCTTATCAAAAAGCAGTATGTGTTATTCAAGATTACAATAAAGATGTGATGAGAGTTGTAGAAAGTCTTCATGCCACTGTTGGTAGCGCCATTTGGAACAGGTATTTTTTTTTAATGTGTATAAAATTTTCTCTTAACTTTTCTTCACTTAATATTATTTATTTGTAATAAATTAAAATATTTTTAGACTAAAAGATTCAACTGAGAAGAAGAAAGAGGCCGTTAAAGAAGCAGAAGACCTTGCCAATGAAGCAATTGAATCACTTAATAAAATATATAATTTAATCAAAGATCCTAAATTTGACGCGCCATCGCATATGAAAACAGCTGCTCGAAGAAACATTAAGAAAATCATGGATGATGTGGACGAAGCAAAGAAAAAATATCAAACGGAAATAGAATGTGGGAATATGGCAGAGCGTTATTGGAAACAAGTCAAAATGGCTCGTGAAAATCTTAACGAAGAACTTCAGATACTATTTCCTAATATCAATATTCATGAAAAAAAAATTACTCTTGATGAAAATACCTTTGATTTGTTTGTTTTGCATATGTATAATAAAGTAAGCAACTTGCAGAGGGAATTAGAAAAAACAAGGGTAAATATTATTACAAAGTTCACATTAAGTATTCAAATATAAAGTTTCATAAATTTAAAATTCGTGTTTCATTACAGACGATCAACGAAAGTAGAATCAGAGCAGCATTAAAGGCAACAGGCGAAACAATGACTGAAGAGAGATTGCATACTTTAGTGTGCCTTGAGTTGGACAAGGAGAAACAGATCTATGAGAGTGAGTTCAGTCAAAAGGTAGGAGGATTAATATTACTTCACCAACTTTCGATAACATAAAAAATTACTACTGCAGTAACTGCATTGAAAATCATATATCTGTAATAATATATATATGCTGTTTCTACATATTACAATACCGTGGTTGCATTTATCGTATGAAATAACGTTTAATTTTCAAATGTGGTCGAAGAAAATTCAAAACCGCTGTGCACCATGTAATAATTTACGCGTAATGCTGTGAAAATTCAAAATTTATGCTCTCACGCATTGTTTGGAAATTATGTGGTTAACTTTCGGTGGGGATATTTACGAACAGCGTATAAAAAATAATGACATCCTCGATAATAACTCTGTCGAGATAATGCATATGCTCGTTATTAAATCATATGAAATGAGATTCAAATTAATACGAATAGACCTCCAATCGATATCAGTCTCTAAAGGCAAACATCGCGATGAGTACATAGAGATTCATGGTATATCGATAGAATTTGGCATTGGAAAAGAACCGTAGCTTATACTATAACACACTTGGTCGTTATGTACGGATGCACATAGAGGTGTGGCGTATCTCATATCCCTCTGTGTATGTATATGGATGTATATCTGTCCGTTTGGTAAAGGATGATGGGTGGAGAGGGATGGAAGAATGATTCTGCCACCCTTCGGGCTTTTTATCTATTTCCATTTGGCCCAATGCCAATACTTCGCTAGAGGCAGGCAATATTATCTCTTTAGACTAGCCTTGCGGTATATTCGGTATGCACGCGTCTAGTCACACCGAGATATCCTCACTCAGAGGAATCACTATGACTTATTGTCATCATAGTTGTCTCCGGAGTTTGTCCTTTGCCTTCGATTCCATTGGGGCTGCGAGTTATGATTCTGCCTTGAATTATAGAGAGAATAGAATGATAGTGTACCGATTGACATATATTAAATATACAGAATGATTTATTTGATTATTGTTTGAAATATATTTTACTTTCAATTTAGGTTTCTTATTAATAGATTTTTATTAATAATTAAAATTAATTCAATTTTAAATTAAAAGAATATATCATTTACTTTATCTTATTTATTATTGAAATAAATGTAAAATTTTATGTTATTTATTTTATATTACTTAATTATTGATAATTAATTTGATCTAATTAATAGTTACTTGATCTAATAGTACAACTTGATCTAATAATAGTTTTAATTTTAATTATAAAAAGATATAATATTATATCAATAATTGTTGATGTGAATGGTTTTGAGGAGGATCTTTTTTTAATTTTTTATTGATTGGTAATATTTTCTAAAATTAGTTATTTTCTTAATTTATTTTCATAATCTTTACAGTTAGTATTTATTAGCTAATATATATTTTTTATTAATCTTCAATTCTTTTAGTATTTATCCTAATACAATTTACATTGAAATATTGTCGTGTTGAATTAAATATTTTTGAAAATAAAAATAAATTTGTATATCATATGATTTTCTAATCTCAGTGAATAAAGACAAGTTTTTTTTTTTTTTTTTTTTTACTGAAATGAATTGAAAAATAATTATACAATTCTATTTTTGAAAGAATTAAAAGTAAATTTTTATTTTTATTTAATTATTAAATTAATTATATTTTAAAGTAAATATATAAAATGATGTTTACAATAGAAATATGTAAATTAGAGAAATATTTATTTTTTTTAAAGGTTTAAGGTGTTTGAAATATACATATCAAACTATTATTGAAATGCAATTAATATAAATTTGCACAATTCGATAGAAAATAATATATTTCCAATATTTCTGTGTTTTGTGCAAATCTAAATAAAATCACGTCAAATAGTAAAATTTTCGAAATCGATAAAACTCGAATGCATTTACGAGCTTTAAAAAGCTCGTTCGCTCGAAATGATTTGCTGCAATATCGACGAATCCTCTTTTCCCTCGAATAACCTTTAAGTTCTGGAGAAAACTTACATCTACATCCGTTGTTTCGCATCTTGTTTCAAAATTGAAGAGATTGTAGAAAGAACATACGAGTTTTGTAACGTAGCTGGTGAATAATTTCTTTTGTGTCCTAATCGAGAAAAGGGAAGCCGGGCGACGGGAAGAGAGAATTTTTGACAGAAAATTCCTATAGACCTCTGTGGAGGAGATGGGCCGCGATGAAAGGGTGGACCTACTAAATTGTTACTCAACATTTTCGCATAAAATATTCCTTCTGTTCGTTGGCAAGAGTTTCGTAGTTAACGTTGTATGCTTCTCTCCTCAAAGGTTTTCAATTTTCACCAAATGAGGGACAAAGTTGACGTACAGTCTTGTTCGTAAGTATGTGGACACATACTTCGAAATTGTAACAACAAGCGTTCACTTAAAAAATTTCACTTAAAAATTTCACTTAAAAACTTAAAAATTTTCACTTTTATTTAAATCTTCGATTTTTCTTCGACAAATTAAAATTTTCTTTAACAATAACTTATTTATTGTATTTCAAACATTGACAGACAAATTTAATTTTGGCAATTTCTTAATTTTCCTTCGATAATCTTTCTGTCATAGATATTTCATATATTTATCAATTGCTATATATTTATCAATTGTTTAACTTTTATCAATTTTTTATAGTAGTGTTAGATCATTGATTCGTCTTTATCTCAACAATTAATTATCACTAAGTAGTTAAAAAAAAGCGATAACCTCGAAATCCAGAAAAATAGAAGAATTTTTAAAAAAGATTCCTATCGTGAAAAATAGGATTTTAGTATAATTTCTTTTATATATTCGTAATAATAATTTACGTAATATAAATATTTTCGTCACACTATCTCAATATTTCAATTATAATCTAATAAACAAATCTCGATCGATATTATTTCAAAATTCTTATATGTTATATGCATAAAATTTGACATTATTAATCTTGAGAAACAATGCTATCATGCTTTGTCGCGTTAGTTGTGCGGGTTTCTTCCTTTTTAATAACAATTCAATCACAAAGGATATGTCGACGGTTTTAGCATCATTCTTTATGGATACGGGGAAGGTGTTTTTCTGCATTCTTCTTTGTTCTGGTGCACCGCGTTCCAAACATCTTCCTCGATGAATTAAACATTCATACGGAGCACAAATTTTGGCGTCAAACGGAATCCCTTATCATTATTCGAAGGGAATATTGATCTCTGTATCGAATTGGAAACACGAGTCGCGACATGATTCTGATTCTTCTTTGTAAATATTGCGCCAGGTGATATAGTGTAGATGTGAAGGATAAATTTTATGTAAATTTGTTTGAAACGTGATATTTTTTTTTGAGGTTATTATTTTTACCCCATTTTATATTATTTCGCTCGATATCATCAAGAGGATTAAATAATAAATTTAAATTGACGTTACGTGATAGATAGATATATCATTTGTGGTATTTTTATTATTCTCTATTTCCTGTTGAATATTACCAGAGAGTATTGATATAAATTAATATCACTGGCTGGATGAAATTTTAATTCAATTAGAAAAGATAATGATAAGAAAGATAACATATTATTTAACTTACTGTTATTTTATTGTCTGTTAAATTATAAAAACTATAAGAAAAATTGATCAGTTTAATATTTTAAACGAGTATAACAAAACGATATATACATTTCGAGGAAGTTTAATAATAATAAATTGAAATAGAACTTTTCGAATTTGCTTTTGAAACGATCAAATTTTCTGATAAAAATATATATATAATGAGTTTGATTCATTCCGAAATGAGATTACCGCGTTTCCAGCCCGTAAATTGTGATATTCCTCAGTTCCAACCAGATGTAACGTTTTTCATCTTTTCACCCCTTTTTTTTTCTTTTCGTTCCAACGAAATCGATTAGCCCGTGTTGCGCCCTCCCATTACCAAGTTTATGGCCGTAACATGGAATAATTCGGGGCCCGGTCATAGGCATATCAGTGAGAAAAAATCATCCCTAACGCGATTTCAATTCGAATTTATCCCGGGGATGAGACTTGGAAATTTGGATCGACTTTCTTCGAATTAAGAACGGGAATTTGGGTTAGGTGGACAAACGAATTGATGTTAGGAGATGTTTATGCTTGTTGTTAATATTGTAATCTATTTATTGATTTTTTTTTTAATCTCGAATATTCAATTTTCATGTGATGATTGAGAGCATGGTTAGAGAGGCTTATGTTTTATATTATAAAATGAAAAAGAAAGAGTGTATTTTTGTAGTAGATAATTAAATCGAGCAGAAAGGAATAATTGGGTGTAATGTAAGGATCACAATCTGTACTCTTGAAGGATATTTAATATAATTATGTATCTTTAATATTTCATTTTTTGGTAAAGATCACAGTGCATTATATTCTTTCTAAAGAATAATAATTGTGATGTTATTTCATTTCATTAATTCCTTTTCCTATTCCAATTTTATAAAAGTAAATGTACAACTTTGTTATAATTATAATTTCAATTTTTTTAAATTCGAAAAATCAAAATGTTTAACAACAGTTGAGAAGAAAAGGTTTAAAATTTATAAATTTATAAATTTATTCGTGTTTTGCATACGTTGCAACGTGATTTATAAATAGATCACAGAAAAAGAAACTCTGAAAATCTGAAGGGTTGAATATCGTACAGTGGATGTTGATTTATTATCTGCGAGATCGATTGGCTCGAAGCATCCAAAATCCGTGAAAAATGGCCGTGCAACGGATGTTTGAGTTTTTTTTATGGCGAAGCATTATGCCTTTTTTCTCGCAAGAATAGTTTCGGCCACGATTTATGCTCGTGTCCTTTTGTGTTAATCTTACTTATTCCACGTTACTTTTTTTCGAAAACGTTATTCACGATAACATAATTTTCCCTTTCTTTTTCTTCTCTTGTTTGAATAAAGTCTTTTTGAAATATGGAAAAAAAGAAAAAAAAAAAATGTGAAAAATTTAGGTGCATGAATTTTGTTAGAATTTGCGTAGGCAGCTGTGAAGTACCGTGTCCTACTATATACGGGTTAATACTACTT